TACCAACAAACAACTTGCTCAAAAACATCGACAAAATGTCAGGTAAAAAGTCTAATGGCTCATTGATGGAGGACATTGTGTCATATTCAGGATAAGTTTGGGGAGATTGCTTTTTGTCCTCTATGGCACTTTTTATCAAACTTGCTGCAGTTTCTATAATTTTCTCTTTTTCATCTACTTGGTCTCCTTTGTGTTGATGAAAAGCATGCAATATTTTGGCAGCATTGTCATGAAAGGTAACAACATTTTGTATTCCTTGGATATCACTGATGATAAGGTTCTCACCAGAGAATGCTTTCAGCTCTTTCTTCATGTATTTAAAGCTATAGGGTTCAATTTCACTGTCATTTATGAACTCTTTCACCTTGCTAATAAGATCAGTGACAGTTATTTGTTCATCATCATTCGCCTCAAGAAAGGTAACAACTTTATTGAAAGCATCTTGTCGTTGCATGTCTTATTAGGGTGTCCACTCATTCTTTTCATTTTTGGTTGCCTTTCCCCATCACTCAGTTGAAACTGTTGTGGTATGCCCTTGCCTGATCTAAAGTTACCACTACAAACCTTATGGTACACTGCATCTGCAGATGGTAAATCGTTAGTAAAACTAATACGTGATTTGACCATGTCAGACCAGCTGATGTTGTTCTGAAACATGGCTGGTAATATTGATACATTATATAGAATAAATATATGTATATTTATATTAAATAGATGTTATTTATTTATATATTCAATGTATAATTGTTATTTTGATGTTCATTTTGTATTTTTCTTTTTCTACACCTCTGTTCAAATATATTAATTTGGAAAAGCTAATTTTGCAATAGATGAAAAACGTTTGAAGTCAACTTTGAAGTCGACCCTTGAATTTTAGATGGCGCTAGTGTTTCTAAGTTTCATTTTAAAACTGTTTAATGATTAAATAACTAAGAGATAGTGTTTATTGGTCAGGTAACCATGTTGTATTTGTTGTATTCTCAAATTAGAGTTGATTTAAGCTATAGATATGTGATATCGCAGTTGTTATTAAGTAACGGTAATTGGACCCTAATATTTTATCTTGCATCCAACATATTATGAGATTTTTAACAAGACAGGGGAAATAACTCCAATAAAAAGTTATGTACAAGACAGAATGGGTTTATATCTGTATTTTGATATCAAATTTGAGGACATATGTGGTATATATTGGAAGTTATGTTGCAAAAGTAAGGTCACCCCAAAAGTGGGCGGGGCAAAAAATTGAAATTTTAAATATTTTTTTCTTCAACAATTTGCAAGTTGAGAAGTCAGTATTCCATATGTGTATCACCTGTATATAGAAGTATTACCATGAATTTTTCTATGGCTCTTGGATCAAGGAATTGAGAAATATATACATTATTATAAAATATTTTGGCCATATGACAACATATTTTGGTGTATTTGGGAGGTAAATTGTCAATTGTTGGCACAAAAAAGCATTAAAAGTAGATTTAAATCCACTTTAAATCTTTCCCCTGAACTAATACAACATAAAAACATGAAGAAACTATTCAAATATGGAGAAATTATTTTTCCCCTTACCCCTAGTCAAAATTGGGGTGGGGGTACCTAAGAAGTGAAATTTCATATTTGTCCACTACATATATTTTCCTATATTTTTAATATGTTGCTTCATATATATCAATTCACCAATTAAACCATGTTTCAAAACTATTGCAATTTGTCAGATGTGAAATCACCAATTGACTGGCCTATATACCAAGTAGAGTTTTCTAATTTTCTTTCAATTATTTTTTCACATTTTCTAATTTTTTTTCAATTTTTTTTTCTTTTTTCAATTTTTTATTTTTTCACATTTTTTATTTTTTTCAATTTTTTCTTATTTTTTCAAAAAAAAATTTTCGAAGCGGGAAGATATGCCCTGGAGCGGGAGATATGGCGGGAGATATGGAGGTTCAGGATATGGAAACCTCAAAATCAGGATACGGGATATATCTTTCCAACTTATCTCTAAAACTCTACTTGGCATAGGATAAATTGCCTTATTAAGCAGGTAGAGGGGGATAAAGAACACGGAAGCAAATGCTATGTTGAAAACATATTTCTATATTTCAGTTTGAACATGTTATATTACATGTCACGTAGGCCAGTGTTTTATATGGGGATTATATGTACTTTACTTGTTTACATGAACGTAAATCATTACATGAAATCTGCCTTCCGGCAGTCTCTCGAGTTTTATCTGGGTTTGTATTGTCTTATTGAGGCTTTTCGACTTTAAAACAAACCTTACCAAAATGGATTTGTGTCTGAAAGAATATCCCACATTTTTGTCTTCCCGATTTCAGTCATGAATAACGTCAATTTTGCGTGCAAACATTGGGTAGACGAGATTTTAGGTCCAGGGGATTTTTCAAAAATTGGCGAAGACTTAATTTAGAGGTTTTTATCAACTCGCAAAATTAAAACAGCCGTCAAACCAAAGCAATTTACAGTAGTCATCCTACATACTTCCCATCAAACAACAAACAAATAAAGGTAGTGGTTGCAATAGGATTTAATGTTTATAGATGTCATCCATGCATAAAGTTTCAACATTTTATCTAGTTAGTTTAATTTAATTCTATATACAAAATTCTCTATTATAAATAGCTATAACATTTTGACATGATTGCGATCTTCTGATTTTTTTTGTTAAATACATCCTTTTTTATTTTGATATAAATGATATAAATGAATTAATTTGAATTTCTAAACCCTATTGTTTTATACTTCCCTCACATTTTGTCAGTTGATTTTTTAAAACTGCTGATTTATTTATCTGTTGCCGAACATTCTGACTGCCTTTTACATAGTTGTGTAACAAAGGCTGGGGTGGTCAGAAAGTTTCAGGGCATTAAATAGAGGGGGTCTATCATAATAATTAAGATTTAGTATGTATTATCTCCCAAATTGTCCAGAATGAATAAGACATATTAATAATTTTGTGAAGTGATAATTTAGCCTTTAAAAATAAAATGTGATAATTTGGCAATACTATAGATAATTTGCATAAAATGAAAATGTTATTAATTCTTTGATAGACCCCTCCCTTCAACAAATGTAATAAAACACACCCATAACATACACAGATACCATTGGGTAACATATTAATGCTCGTATCTGGAATTTACCTCATAGTGACCACAGGACTCCGTTCTATCTTGTTGCATTCCCTTAATTACGATCATAACCAATAGATTCAACAAGAGGAGAGTAAAGACCCAAAACCTTTAACATGTAACATATTCAGCTTTACATTAGCCATAAACAGGATGGCCTCATACATTTTATAAGTGTAGACATCTTTTATTTTTCAGTTATTGAACTTCTTATTATCCTATAATGTAAATTTTGCAATTACTTAGAGATGTACTAAAACACAGAATATTTTTATTCACAAAGTAAGGTCTACATTGCAATAAACATCTTGGTCCTACGACCTACATGTAAGATTATTGTCTCCATGGTCTGTTTACAATATTTTGTTCCTGATGTGACAGAGGTAAGAATTAATGTAAACCTAGAAATTGCAGAGGTCCTTATATTGGCCTGCTCTTCCCTACAATAACCTTAGATGTATGACTGACAAAATTGATGATTAGCAGTAATACATGATTTCAGTATGAGCATCTATGTCTCACAGAGCATACATGTATAAAATACGAAAAATTTTAAATGCTTAAGAGATGGACATGTTTTTCTATATCACATCTGCTGACGCAGACGCAGATAGGATTTTGTAGGTGGTCTTTTTTGATTTTTATGAAATACTAGTACTGCATCTTTTGAAAAATCATCTAAAGCTGCAATGACTCAACTACAGACTCATTAAAGGAACCTTGTTTTTAAAGATTTCATGGCCTAAACTGGTTATTAGGGAGTATAAAATCAATGATGTGAATGTTAAAACTTTGGACTTATAGGTACTTGGGAGGTTTAAGGATGAACTCTAATTGGCTAATTCTTTATTTAATTGGCTAATTCTTTATTTAATTGGCTAATTCTTTATTTCACCATGTTTGACCATTTACACTATCATTCAGGCCTGAAATATGCATGAACATTGTTTTTTGACACCCTGTACAATGTACATTGAATATAACCCTTTAAAAATCTGGTGCAAAAATGTTGCACCTCTAATCTGTCATTGATGAGTGTAAACATTGGCAATAAACATTTAATTTTTGAAACAATATGATTCAACAAATTTCAAAAATAGAGTTATGGATTGCAAAATGTATGATCTTCATGTTTTGAAAGACAATTGAAGTCAAGTTAGATTGAAATAAATATTTAGTGCTTTACTGCAATACAATAATAACACCGACGATCAAAAAGCATGCAAATACAATTGATATTCATAATAGCAATAGTCTCTTATTTTAACTTTAAAATCAGCATTTCAAATATTCAAAATTTGAGTAGATCAGATTTGAGTAGACCAACTATACTGACAATTGGTCTCTTCTGTTGTATGTATACACAGGTACATTTACTAGTATATAAGCATACACAACTACTCAAATTTCAGTTCCAGATATACATACATGTAGGTACATTAAATATATTGTATGCAATGTACCTATACTAAAATATCACTCTTATTACACGAATTCCACTTGAATGGATTCTGATGAATTTTTACTTCTAGACATATTAAGGGGTAAGAGTGGCAGAATCTATCTGGGTTATAAATTATGTTCTTCAACATGTAATTCATTGCTTCAGAAAATTCGAAATAAATTTGAAGTTTAAAACATCATAATACTAAGAACATACTGATATTGAATATTCTTTATAAGGAGGACATGACAATTCACCAAATATAATTTTGCTTGGTTATTGCAGTTAATATTTAGTAAAGCCTGTGTAAGTGGAACACTTTTCGTACCACGAGAAATGTTCCACAGGGGAGATATTCCAGTGGTTCATTTAACATTAAGTCAGTTGGTCGTTTCCCACTATCAGAGGTGTTCCAATAATATAACAGTGACATTCCAGATCACAGGTTTTACTGGATTTTGGATTTTGCTTAAGTAATATTTACATGTTGTTCAGTGAAAAGGGAATTTCCAAATAACTCGAAAGTGACCTGTCGTCTATCAAGTCCTTAAATCATTGAATTTATTGAGCAGCTGCACTTAAAACATAACAAATGACCCAGTCTAATAAGCTCCACATTAAAAACAGCCCCCAAACAGGACCCAATAATTTTATTCACTATTGAAGAGTTTTCAGTGGATTTGAAATTAGCAAAATCAGAGTGAGAATTTTATCATAGTACATTTCACATTGTCTTCAGTGTCCAGTTTATGTTGCTGTTCAGCATAGATACACAGAGATTCAAAGTTAGTACAGCAAGACACGTTTATCCACAGACTTTCGACAGATTGGGCACTCCTGCATCCTGTCTCCGCAGTTCTGACACGTCCCATGGCCACACATAAAAATCATGTTCTTTAACCTGTCCATGCACACGGGACAGCACGTCTGGAAATAAATGTATTAAATTTGGAAATTTGTATAAAGTGAGATTTAAGGTATGAATTAGGGACACAGTGGAATATGTACCATGAATAGATCTTTGCTGAACTGCACTGTGCTTGAAGACCACATATTATTTATTTGTTGAAAACAAAGAAGCGTCTGCAATGGCTGAATGTACTTATATAATATCCGCATCAATGGTCCCTCATCCTACACAGGTAAGCATCTCAACTTTTTTCTTTTAACTGAATAAGACAGGAATCGGGTGACATTTAAATGATTCACAGTATTTTATCCATGTGAGGGATTTTTGGCCAACTTAAAATTGAAATAGAAACCAAGTGTCCTTCTTTATGCCTACTTTATGCCCATAGGTCATGCAGAACTTACCTGATCTTTAATGTCTTGTAATTGCTGCTGAAGTCTCTGGAAGTCTGGAGAGTTCACATCTGATTTGCCATTGTTCATTATACCTGCAGCCACAGGGGCAGGTGGTGCTGCAAACAAATAAGTTGACATATGGAATTCTCATATGACAATGTATATACATGTATAATGATGTCGCATAGTTTACAGGGTGGCCCAAAAGTAGATTTACAGTGATTCAACAATATGTAACCGTAATCCTACTTTTGGGCTAACCAGTAAAGTGAACATTTCTGAAAATTGAATGATATTTCTTTACAGAAATAGATACTTATTTGACCTGAAAGAGGCACTGTCTCATATGAACACTATGTGAGTACACCCCTTGATATTTTTGCATTAGGGGATGTACAACAGTTTCAGCAATCTTATTTTCCAATTTTCAGATACTGACTCCTATGTTTGGTAACTGGTCAACTCAACCCCAAGTCAACTCAACCCTTAGTCAAGTCGACCCCAAGTCATCTCAACCCTTAGTCAAGTCGACCCCAAGTCATCTCAACCCTTAGTCAACTCGACCCCAATGATTTTACTTGTTTTAAGTCGATTAAAATACAATATTATATATCATTAAATAGTACTTGTTAAATATTTTGATAATATATGATATATTAAAGGAATAATAGAAAATTATGGTAAAGGTAAACGTTCCTATTTGAATCCTATTTGATTAATGCAATTTCTTCCATAATTCAAAAAATACTACATTGAGAAAATATACTGTTTTATAGACTTTTTGATTTAAAGATAATTTTAGAAATGAATATTGAAATAGCTGTTGATACACTGAGAAATAAGTATGGTAAATACGATAGCATCGAACAGAAGAAAATATGTAAGTTTTCAGTATTTATTATTCAGTAAGTTGTAAATCATCACTTGGGGTCGAGTTGACTAAGGGTCGAGATGACTTGGGGTCGACTTGACTAGGGGTCGACTTGACTTGGGGTCGACTTGACTAAGGGTTGAGTTGACTTGGGTTGAGTTGACTTGGGGTTGAGTTGACCAGTTACCCTATGTTTACGGTGTCAATTTCATGATTGTGTGATCATGATCATCTGTATTCTTTGAATATACCCCTTTAAGGGTTGTTAAAATTTTGATTTTAAGATGAACTGTTATTTTCTGACTTGGAAAAAAATATGACTTACCTTGACCCCCACAGCAAACTATGAAGGGCACTTGCTTCTCTACGTTAGATCGACATTGCACACATTTTTTCATCAATGCAGCACATCCTAAAATAGAACATAATATCATTTAAATGGTTTAAAATAAAATTATTGTAATAGTATAATAAAATATCACTTTAATGGTAAAACATAATATCATTTAATGGTATAAAATATAATGGTAAAATAAAATTATTTTAATAGTATAAAATAAAATCATTTCAATGGCAAAAAATAATATTATTTTAATGGTTAATTTGTTTGCTATGGGGACAAGATAGATATTTTGTTGTACTTTAATCCCATTTTGTTTTTCCAGGCCATCTCAAAAGTACTGCTCTGGGGAAAAGTGGTACCATAAGTGAGCTCACACAGTGATTTCATTAGTTTGGCTATTATGAAGACAAAAAGCCATCAAAAATGAGACAAAAAAGAAGGACCTTGGACCAAAGTTATAGATTACCAATGTTAACTCTGTAAATGATACAAATAGACAAAAAGATTAGTTTAGTTTATTTATTTGTCCAATAATTGATATAGGGATGGTTGGACAAACAAACAGACGGTGGAGTGGGCAATATTTAATCAATTGCAATAATGGTCTCCAGAAAATGTCTGTACAGAACTGATCTTAATATCTCAATGAGCTAGAATACAATGAGTAAATAAACAGCACTGAATATCCCCCGACCAAGGGCTCAAAAGAGCTGACAAGATAGTATAGGTGAATAGGCTACTTCATGTCTTCATGTTATCATAATGACTTCATCTAAATTAGTGAAAATGAACACATAACAGGAAAGTTAAGTATGAAAATATGAGAATACTTACCATCACATGCACACATGTGGCCACAAGGTTTGAAGAGAATTGTAGCCTTCTTGTCAGAACACACCACACATTCCTCAATCTGAAACATGGTGTACATCAGAGGTCTAATTCGATTAATTATATGTAAATACAATGCAATACATTAGTTGTAGTGGGCATAGGCTGAGAGCAATATTGACCGCCACATCAACATTGTATCATGGGATTAATTTGTTTGAACTAAAACGAGAGAGTTTCAAACTAAGGAAAAAGGTTTTTTAGTGACTGTAAGAATAACAATAATTATTATACCACAGCTTGATTTCCAGTATTTTGATTGGTTTATGTTAAACCATGTGATCAAAAAGACTACGACATATTTCAAATCTCCTTCAGTTTTAAACAAGAACAAGAAACACGATGAACAATATTGCACCATCATTATTATGTTAAAAAGGGTAGAAAACATCTTACAATTCACAACATGATGATTGTGTAAAAGTGGCAACTCTAAAAATTTAATTATGAAATTCAGAATGCCGAATGACTCATTCTTCGTGTCTTTTATTTCAGACCCTTAAAATTAACATATAATACCTCATTACATTAAGAGTACAAAGTATAAATAAAATATAATATAAAATATGTAATATATAATATGTTATATAACATAATCAGGCATCATGACTCATGGGCAATGGCTTTATGTAACAATTCTTATCTTATTTAATAAATAGGTATTGATATTAAAAGGTTATCCACAAAATACTTACATTCTTGTAAACTGGCATGTTCAGTGTTCAAGTGTTTTTAATTAGATAAAACAAGTAACTCCAGAAAGAGACGTTTCTCTGTCCCTCCAAAACAAACTCATTCAGTGTGAAAAAATGGATTTAGGATGAAGTGCCAAGATCCAATCAGTATGAGTGTTAATGTAAAATAAATGGTGCAGTTTTACCTTTGTTCTGGATTGTACTGGATCTTTACACATGAGACACTTCTTAACACGTGGAGAACAGAGCGAACATGTGGCAATATGACCACAGGGTCCAAATAGGGTGTCTCGCTTCATATCTGAACAAACCATACATTCTTCCAGTGAATCTTGGTCATTGCGAATTGTCGCCGCATTGGGTGGTGTTAAATTAGGGCTGAAACAATACAGATGATTCTTTTAGTCTATTGTTAAGTCAAGACAGTTCAAGTACATTGTAAGGGAAAGATGTCGAGATGTCATTTTAAAAATTTCTGTTAAACCGCAACATATGCCCACTAGGGTGTCTAGCGGCTTGTTTTTATAGTGTATATCTAAGAATTATGAAATAAATAAATTGAATTGAATTGAAATTGAAGATAGGCTGTGTCCTCAAATGGAGAAGAGGAGGATGTAAACTATTGATGTTTAGTCCATGGGTGTGAACGTCAAATCAATATTGTAAGAGGGAGGGGATAAACAATAATGAAATAGACTTAACATTCCACAACTTTCAACATTTGGACACCTATCATGTCTGAATGCAAGGCAGAAGGTCAATATAATAATAACTAATAGGCCATTGCTTGAAGATAACCACATTATGCATACATTAACATAACATACCACAGATAAAAGAAAGATCAAGTATTTAAGAGCCAAAACGATTTGGGACTCACGATGCCTTGTGGTAACTCAATAATAGGTATAAAGTAAAACCTGTCTATTATTGAAACACCTTTGGCACCTCTAAAAATGTTCCTCTTATAGAGATTTAACAATAAGTCAATTGGTCTTGGGACTCTGAAAAGTGTTCCACTTTAGAGGTGTTCCACTTTACAGGTTTCAACTTATTAAGAAAAAATATGGGTATATACAAGACCATGTGGGTTCTAAAGTATAGGGGCTTTGAAAAGTAAGATATCATACATTCAAAGACCTCCAATACACCTCCCTTTTAGTCCCAACTTACCTATTTCTTTCTTTATGACATTTGGCCAGAGCCTTACAAAGGTTAGGGTCTGGACATAAGTCCAGTGGGGACTGTCCCTTTTTGTTCTTCAAGTTCAAGTCTGCCCCATTGGCAGCAAGGAAACACGCAATTGATGCACTGGACTTTTTATCAGCACCTGGGGTCCCGAGTCCCATCAGCAACTGAAATAGGAAAAGAAAAAATTAAATGAAATTAATGCTCACTATCCGTATTAAACCTTACTCATAAAATATGTAGAAACTGTACTTGGATTTAGATACATGTTTTAGACTATTGGCCGTTTCTCATTATTCACCCGTCTCATTCATAATTATCTGAATGATTACTAGTATTACCCATTATCCAATTATTTAAACATGGCTATGACTCACATATTCTTGAAACGCATACGTTACATGATTTCAGAAAACTATTACTGTATTACCATATTCTCTGTGATTAGTGCCCGAGTGCTTAGAAAATTCAAAATACCTACTTCAGACAATTCTAATTAGTTCCCATATATGAAACTAAAAAATCCCCAGGAATTTAATGGATGGCAATTTTTCTTGCCAAGAATGGCTTATCTGGGACATCTGAAGGATGCATTGAATTACAAAATGAGTCACTTTTACCACATACTGTAATAGTGTCAGCACTCTATCATAGCCCACTTGATTTTTTTTAGAAATTGGATCTTTTTTCTGATGTGTTCGTTAATACTAGTCATCCTCAATCAGAGGTTTTGGAAAGCACTCGACCTGGTTGCATTTGCGACCAGATTTCAGTACTTGCGACCAACATGTTAAATCTAGTGGTCCTCATTGCGAGTTTACTTTATGAAGCATTATTCACAAGAATTTATAAACATTTTTACCTTATCTGACGTTGACTCGGTCCAAAGTTGTCAGAAATTTCTGATTTTGATTAGTTATCATTCTTCTTATTATCGCCCACAAGAATTGTAAGGTTCAATTTGATTAGCTGGCTATATTGCATCATCTACTGTGAACTAATCAGATCCGAGTTTACAATTTCGAGAAACCGGAAGTAGCTTACCGAAAGTGATGTTTTCAAAATGTTGTATGTGATTTTTCTATCAAAATGTAAGTTGCTATATGAAGTTAAGTGTAGCCTCAAGACAACATTATGAATTCTTCTAAAATGCCATTATAACAAATTGTTTGTTATATCATATTTTCCTTTAAAATAACGCTAGACAGTTTTCAGTCCTTCGATTTCTAATTTTGATATTCCTCTTAGCTGCATGCACCCACCTTGCCAACATCCTGCATGTCCTGTAGTTGCCTCAGCTGTGAAAGGGTGTGGTGTCTCAGTGCCTCGTGAAGTGGTGTGTCACCATCTTTGTCTGCGATGTTCAAACAACAGCTCTCACGTACCAACAACTGGAAGAGACCATAAATTAATATACAGTGGAACCTGTATATAGGAACACATCTCAATGTGAACACTTTCTCAGCCCAAAATTTGTTATCTCCCATTGACTCACACATCTAAACAAGGCATCTGCCATTCGTTACAAACACTGACCACCAAACACCAACTGCCAAACACCAACCATCAAACACCATCCACAAAAAGGTAGAGACTACAACACTATATAACACTTGTGGTGGCGACATAAAAACCTTGTACTGTCAATTCCTGTTCATCCAAACACTTTTGGCTGCTTCAAGTGGCATCTGGATTAGACTGGGTTTACTGTATACATGTATCTGATATGAAAACTATATTCATGTTGAATAGACCTATCATTCCAAAAGCTGGTCTTCTGAAAGTCCAATTGTTTATATTATCAACAGAACTGGTGTGTTTAGATATAGATTAAAGTACATTTGTTGTATAAAGTTCCCTTCCAATGCTATACCTACCCTAACTATTTGTGTATGTTGTCTCTCAACTGCAAGATGAAGGGCTGTCTGTTGGTTGACATTCTGGATGTCCATGTTAGCCTTCCCCTACAACAGGCATATATGCATTTAGTCCATAGTGCAAGTAACTGACACATCACAATAAACTTGTTACAAGTGAAAATAATCTTAAAAGTTTCTTTGCTCGAAGCCATTAATAAGCCATCTATAATTTTGGTTTTCAAAATTGTGTATCAACCTTGAACATTTTCCTTTGAAAATAAATAAGGGTTATGTACTGGGAGGTTTTGGATATGGGGTTTATCCAGAGGGAGATATGCATATCTACCTGAGGGGCCGTATATTAGGGGTCAAACGGTTCAAAATTCCAACGGTTCGGTTCGGTCACGGTTTTTAGGTCCACGGTTCGGTTCTGTTCACGGTTCTCGCGGGTCTCGTAAAGACAGCTCATAAAGAAACAGGTTTTAGCTTTCTATCTAGCCTTGCCCAAGCCGGTCACTTTCTATCCTGGTCCCACTAGGCTTTTTTAAATTGACTTGACAAATTAAAGCAAAGTTTATTGGCCTAGTGGCCAACTTTAAATTTTAAACTTTAGATTTTTGTTTGTCCTTGATAAGATTTCTGTTAGATAAGAGCAGTAACTTGAGGAAAAAACTTTGCCTAGGCTTAGAAAATATTTTTCTCACCATGAAGATACTTCATGACCTCCCTACAGATTATGTATATTGATACATTGTCCTCTGATTTCCCATTTACAATAGGAAAACCTCAAAAATTCCAAACATTGCTTTTCTATTTCAACCTAAGCACTAAAGCATCCATGCTGAATCAGCATAGATGGCGCTGCGATTGTGCGGGAGATTTAAACACAAATATGTTTCAAGTTTTTAACAAAGACATTAGTAATGTTATAATTTCTGTAATTGTAGTATTTTTTAAATAATATTGATTAAAAACTAACTCATTATAACAGACAAAACACCTCCACGAAGCAAAATTAATTGGACTATGAATAGCGTAATCTGGCGAGACCAACTTCCGGTCTATTTGTATGTCACAAAAATGTAAACAGTTACTTGTCTACCGATTTGTGAGCGATCTATTTCATATATGGGTAAGAATTGAATGTTTTCTATTGCTATAAACATGTTTTTAAGGAATATATACATGAAGAATAAGTTCATGTCGAACGAAAGAGAGAATACTGAAATCTAAAAATTTCATTTTTCAATTTTTCCTCGAACCGTGGATGAACCGAATCTCATATTTATGAACCGAAAATACCGTCCTAGCATCATATACCGCGGTAACCGCGTACCGCGGTTAACCGTTTGACCCCTACCGTATATCCCAATATCCCAAGTAGAGTTTTCAGGAGCATATGGCCATTTCAACAGTACAAGGTGTAAAAATAAACAAATCAAGTCATTTTATTGCATTACCGGAAGTGGGAAGATATGCACCGGAAGCGGGAAGATATGCACCGAAGCGGGAGATATGGCGGGAGATATGGAGGTTCTGGACATGGAAACCTCAAAATCAGGATACGGGATATATCTGACCAACTTATCTCCCTAAAACTCTACTTGGCATAGGATAAGATGGTATATTATCACAGAGCTCATATCATAAAATAATGAAAAGCATATTGAACTAATAGTATTTTACTAATAATATTTCATTGAACACTTTATCTATTTAAATTAAAGTTGAGGGAAACTTTTTGCATATCTGTTATAATGTCAAATGACCCGAGTTAACCACCTGGTGGTGAAACTGGTGAACTTCCTTCTTTCAACCAGTTAATTGAAAAAATAAGTGATATCTTAAAATCATTTCACTGTATACATGCATAAAACAAAACTATACTATTAGACCATTACAAAATACAAGACCAAAAAATAGTGAATAAATCAGTTTGGTTTTACAGCTAATGGTATAATACAGGTGGATAACATAGTAGCCAAATGGTATGTAGGACAATATTATAGGTGCTTGGTCTAACAACCAGATGGTATAACAGGGGTGTAGCAAGTTTTCGGTCAAGAATTTTTTTTAAAGATTTGTTTTGAATTTTACAAAAATTTATGCAACTTCCTTCAAAATTGAGCTCGAAGCTTCAAATAAAAATCACTTTTCTTCTTCTATCCAATAATTCTATTTTTATCAATTATGGGGGGGGGGGGTCACAACCATTGCATCCCCCTGGCTACACCTATTTATAATATGTGAATGATGTGTCAGGCAGATAGTCTTTCAGAGTTTCACCTTTTTGAAAAAAGGTCTTAATAAATATATTGTAAAACTTGGTGAGACAAATTCAGATTAAATGAGGTTTATTTCAACACTTTAAGTTGAAAAAGGTCTGAATAAATATATTGGTGAGGCAATTGCCTAGCATGCCTCATGCCTGGCTACGCCCACGCATAAATTTGCTTTTTTTCATTTGTATTGCATGTGGTAATTACTTCCTATTAAAACCATTTAAAGTCAATTGGATTATGTTAAACTTAAGTCGAAAGGACAGGTGAAAAGTTGGAAACACACAAAATTGATGTCCCTTGCTTATTGTCTAATTTCAATGAATTGATTAAATAAAAAAACTACCTGGATGACTAGAAGTTCTGCCACCTCCACATGATTGTTGAGTGCAGCCAGGTGTAGCGCTGTGTAGCCATCATCTTTCTTTTCATCCACGATCCAGGGTCTAGGCAGCTTGGATAGTAGTATCCTCATTGCACTGAAACACACATTAAAAGCATCATGGCTTGCTCTAGTGATCGGACAGAATACATAGACATTTAACTTTCTAATTTAGGTAAGTCTTGCATTAGGCCCTACCTGATCTGAAAAATACCAAATATAAGAAATTAATAAGGGAGAAGACTAGAAACTTGATGCAAGACTCTTGTGTAAAAGGGCACAGGATCACTTTGTAAATCACATTACTTTAAGACAGAGTGCTTCATGTATGTTTTTGGTTAATACAGGTTTTGAGTTGATTTGTGTTTTTCTCATGTTGCCTTTTGTGTCTTCTCATCAATGTAACAGAATCCAATGGGAACAAGCTAAATGTAACTAAGTACAAATATGAGCATAATCAGGCTAACACAAATATAGATGTCACTTGAGGTCATTAACCTCTTAATGAATGCCAGTAGAGTACCCTGTTTCACACCAGATAGCCACAACTCCCTCTGACTATTATAAATGATTTAACAGTTTATATGCTTATCAACTAATTAAGAGCTTAACAATCTCAAAGAAAACATTAACATGTAAAATGTCACCACCTGTCATTTGTTACAGATGTCAAACACCAAACACCAACTGAATAATGCCAAACACCAACTACCGAACACTGTACTGTACTACTCTACTGTACTGTTTGTGTTTTACTCATGTTGCCTCTATGTCTTCTCATTAATATAACATAATCTGATTTGCTAATAATTATTATATGTAGGGTAATGAATTATAATACAATTTATCCCTCTTTGAAAGAGTATAAAAGAAATACAGCTCTTGAAAAGGGTTCAAGTTTAATGTTGCTTCAAGTATAAATAACAGTAAAGAATCAAAGTTCAGAATATAATCTTACACACCCAGTATCATCTTTCAGAGATTCTACAAATATGTTAACAAATCAATTTGTTCAGTTAATGTTTTTTTTGTACAATCTCAGTTTTGAGAAAACGAAGCCTCATTAATATGGAGTTATGTACCAGACACAAACATTTGCTTTTTTACACTTCACACATACTTTAAATAATTATGGTATTAATCTCATCATGGCAGAGCTCATAGAATACATTTATGTAGTTCCGAGGGTGTGGCGGTTTCCATTCTATAACAGAAACCTGTTCGAGAGAGTTAGTCAAACATAAATTGACTCCTACCATCACTATACAGCCATGTACCAATATATCTTTCTGATTTCAAAAATACAAAATCTGCCTTTGATGCTGTCACATTTAATTAATTCTTTTACTGTTTTATCATCAATGAAAACAACCAAGCTTTTATCTCATCTTCAACTATCTCACAGGAAAACATGATTATTGTCATGTGATAAAGTAGCATCTGACAATTTTTATTGATATACCTATTTTTGCTTAAAATCCTGATAAAATGCCTACAATTTTTGGATCATCTATTGTGAGGCTGATTTCTGTAAAAATGAGCGTTATCAGTGAAAAATGAGACCAGTTTTGTGGGAATCATTTTTTATAAATCCATGTCAGATTCTTTCAATTTCAGAGAGAGAGATAATGAATGAACATTGTCAAAAAGACAGTGAATAAATGCAATGAAGGCTCAGAATCTCAGAGTTTTTGATGGTACCATTTCTTTCAAACTCAGGTTACTCTGCAAGGATGCATGAATACCAAGTGGTCAAAGGTACCAGCCTGAGTGAAGCCTGATATGAAGGATGAACATATGTAATATATGTATACAGTATAACTTATACAGAGACAAGTCTCGCATAGATATCAGTGTATGTGTAGACCATACAGGCACAGAATTCTTACATCAATCGCATGTAGCCTATATTACAGATAAAGCTATATATATAGACACAGAAATCTTACATCAAGGAAGACTATGTCATCCTCTATCACTTTCCCTCAAACACAAGTATCCCTAAACAACATATACCTTTCTCGTTGAAGAAATAGGAAGAGAATCTTAAAACAAGATTTTTCGCACTTGCCACAATAATTGTGTTAAATTTTGTAAAACAGATGACAAAGTGAATGAATACATACAGGGCTTTTCTACAGTTTATCTCCCATCAAACTTCATTCAGTGCTATGATGACTCGGTTATTAGCATTCAAATCACATTGTAATTTGGAACGAGAATATTATAGCATAGTATGTCGTTAACGTGAAAACTGCCTGTTATTAACCAATAATGTTAAGTACAGTAGGAAGGAAGAGATTATTGGACTGACAAAGAAAAAATGAATTAACTCATGTAATTACATCGACAAACGATCCTAACAATTGGCTGTACAGCATGGCAAATAAGCAATCATAGCACTAAATGCAACATTGTCAACATGCATAAACTATTAAAAAGGGTTTTAAGTAAATATAAATTCATACTTCAATATATATCACTGTGATGATTTTATTAAATGCACAGTAGCTAATGTATGTATGGAGTATGTATGCATCCTACTACCCCTTTATAAGGTAGTAGATCTGCCTCTAATCCATTCACAAATATTTCAGATAGGATATCCATGTTCAGGGCCACCACTGCGGATGACTAGGACCCAGAACTCTTATAAGATAAGCGAAAGTGAAGAAGATTGTCTGAAGTTTATCAGATAGGTACATCAAAGTCCAGGATATAGAAAGTATATTCAGGGATGATAAACTAATGATATGGTCACTGAAACAATAGATAATGGACAATATAAAATAAGGGGGGTAAGGAGGTAGGAACTTGGTCAAACATCATAGCCACCCTCCTCCCCTCTACCCTTCACTGACAATACAGTTATTTTTACCAACACTGACTGGGGTAAGACTAAATATGGAGAATGGCTGGTAGATTAATGTAATATGAAGCGAGGCTAGCCTGAAAGCTACCGCCTGAAAGACCAAATGGAATGCCAGCTTGGTGAATGGCCTGAAAATAACCCTGTCCAAGCTTCACTGGTCCTCAATGTGCATATATTAGACATTGTATAACAATTATGTAGTGCCAGTGTAACAGCTGATAGTATCATAGGTCACTGAGTGAATGAAATGACAAGAATAGCTCTATGTTATCAGAGTGCAATTGAACCAATATACTCATTCAATATGCGTACAATACAGAGACACTGTGGACACTGAACTAGATTCTGGATACCACATGGCCACTAAACACTTGGGGATCTAGAAATCTATGGCAACCACATGTCTACAATGAGACAACAGATTAGAGAGATGAGCAGATGAAGAGATTAGGGATCAAGACACTGATAGATTATCCCAGGAAATAGATAAGCAGGTTTGTAAAGTAGTTGATATATTATTTATAGGCACTGATGTGGCCAGTCAGAAGCTGACCATGTCTTTGACTAATTTCACACATGTGTATGCTATAGATATAATGATAGATGATATCATTGAAGATGCCAGCTTGAACATATGTGGGAAATATTATGCATTACTATGTACTGATACTAGATATCCCAGATTGTGATTACGATTTATATTTAGATAATCCATGTAGATCTGTTAATTATATGTAGCTTGGGATAATCCAGTAGCAGTATGTTGGGATGTATGTTCACAGCTATAATGCACTCATCTGCCCAACTTGGGTGGCAATAAAATAACTAAATATATTAATTTTGGTAGTTTTTTAGAATATGTAATATAATATCATAAATGTGGCATGTATTTGATTGTGAAAAATATTAAATAAAACAGGTTTATGCCGAGATATATCAATATTTTATTCACTTTTAATATGTGATTTATGCCTCAATAAATCATTTACAAATGGAGGGTTCGATTGAACTGTTTGCCAGGGGTGCACTATGTTCATTCAAAGGACTTTGAAAGGGTCAACCTGTAGATGAAACTAACAATGTATTAATGAAGAAATCAGTAACTAATCTTAATAGACACTTTATTGGAAGGGGGGTCTATTGAAGATGCTGGAATTTCATGTAGTTTCTTTTAAACTCTTATTTCTCATGGTTGGGGGTGGGGGGGCAGAAGGGGGGGGGGCTGGTGTTACCCAATCTATACAGCGAAAGTTATAAAATCAAACATCTAAAATAAGCCTCTTATGCTTAATGTTTTTGGTATCTTGTATCTTATCTCAAAAGACCCCAACTACAATACAATAATTGTTTGCTATACATCCTTTCTAATGAAGAGAAAATGTGACAAAAGCTTCGCTAATCGATAATCCATATTTTTTATTAATTACTTGATTCAAGCAGAGTAGCTCAGTTTATATGGGAATTCATAACAAGTGAAATATGTGTGATATGATGACCTCAGGCAATGGAAACTCACTTGATATCTAATAAATTTGTCAAAATCATTGGTTGACTGTTCGATTGGTATAAAAATAACAATTTTTAAGTCCCGTGTCTATTTTAAGAAATTCATGAATATTTCAAAAATAGCCAATTGTGTTTAATCATACAGAAATCAATATAGCTTAAGTATTACTGAAAATGATTTAATGATCTAGTTATCCTTACTTACTGCCAGTGGATATTACATTATTTCCCTCATTATAAACTTCATCAACAATTATAAATTCAATACTATGACTTTAATAATTACTAGTACAGAATGAGATTGATTTCAACTCATTCAGTAAGAAGTACAGTTATCACATGAATTCAAATAACTATTTATATGTTTAAATTACATTCATACTGTAAATGGCCATATAATATATTTGGTCACATATTTTTTATGAAAGTGTTGAAAGGATGTGCTGTTTATATTTGCTTTATACCAGGTGATCTAGCTTTAAAGCAAACCAGCCAGCTATGAATCCCTTCGAATAAAAATGTTCATGTATTTTTCAGAGGAAAACAGAGATTTTTGCAAGGAATAAAGTCGATGGGCATAGTGATTTAGGCCAGGAGATCTCAAGGTAAATAAAAAACATGGCCTACTTTTATCATCAACAATATATGGAGACACAGATTATCTAGGTATCACTTTTATTTGCAGGTACATCATCATATATATCTATACTAGTACACTT